ACAAAATTCGTTTCCTTTTCAAAAGGATTTCCAATTTCGAATTCTCGCCATTTCTTGAAATGGTCATTTGTTGTTATGACACTTTTTGAGCAATGATCTATTCAACATTTTATATACATACTGGAAACTTCTATCTGCGAACATGATACTTTTTTCTGTCTCTCTCCCAACAGCAATGATTGATGAACATCGAACAGAATTCAACCACTTGAAGCTAGTTTCATATGAGACTGCCCATATTTTGGCTTATTCTGGATGGTCTGGTTATTTGTAGCTGTGGGTCTTGAAACAAATATAAAAATATTGCAAAAGTAGTCATATCAGGAACGTGGAGAAGCACAACTAAATTGATTTTCCGAAGAGACCAACTATAATCCTGTGGCCTGTCACATCTCTGCTGGCCATGGTGAATCTGATATTGTGCACCCATTTTCAGCACTCCATAGAATATTTTGGAGGAAAAAGTAGCAGACTCTCTAGCAACGTCGACCATCTTGGCGAAGGGCTTTTCCCACGCGTACATCTTGATCACTCTGATGGCATCCAAGATTTCGTTCATGAGTCCAACTCTTTCGTCTGTTTTTTCGGCAGTCATCAAGCGGAGACGGGAAAACCACCTCGCCATCTGGCCTGTTAAAATACATTTCGGCATAGAAGCTATTTGTTGGCCCATTAGGAAGTGGGTGATAAGGTAGCAGAAAACCTTGAAAGGGAAGAAAGAGGATAAGGATAGCAATTCCCGAGAGGCATGAAACTCCGAATGTCGACCAAAGGATGCCTGTCGTGATGGCAGCTTGAATCGGCCCCACCCACAAGTAGTGAAGGAAAATGACCGACTGATCGAATCTGTTGACATCATTGGACAGGAGATTCACCATCTGACCCACGGTCGTTTGACCCAGTGCACCTTTGCTTAGTCTCAACACCTGCCAGGATGTGGAGGAATTTCCCATCAGCAATGTCCCTTATTCCAGAAAGGAACAGCAAACATGAACATTCATACTTTTCTGTAGATGAGGGATCCGCATGCAACTCTGATTTGCATTCCACATCTCGAGATGTTGAATAGGAGGGAATGATGCGTAAAAATGTATAGGATGGAACATGTTACAACACCCGTGCCAAGCAGCCAGCCCCAGTATGCTTCGTCCCCATATTCCCAGTTTCCGGAGAAATATCGAATCAGCAAACCCATGAATACTGGCTGGGACACTCTGAAAATGTGAAGAAATTTCAAGTGTAGAGCGATTCTCCTCATTCTGACTATTCTATCTGTAATTAACTTCTGCCAGGATTTAATCTCTCTCCTTCTCTCTCTCTCTTTACCTTGGGCCGACAGTCGACTTCATCCATAGAGTTGTTAGAGGGGAAAAAGATGTGAGAATAGTGAATGTGAGAATGTGAGAATGCTCCCTGACCGGTCATCCGGTCAGGGAGCAGCAATTTGAGATGCCTAATTGCAGGCATAGTTTATTTTGATATTGACATGTAATTGTGCTATTCAGAAATTAAAGAGTGACTTGAAACTCTGAAACAAAAATCATTCTGCCAAATAATCGAAATGGTAAATCAGTCATTGGATTGAATGGTATGGCATCACAACGCTAATATTTTATCTCTTTCCACAGGAATATTCGACTGCATCTTTGGAGAAAAAAAAATTTCAATTTCAAGTTAAATGGGACAAGTCACAAACCAAGTCGTTTATTTTCAATTATGCACTGTCTCAAAAAAGGTGGCCAGATCATTTTCTTAAATGTCTCTATCCATTATCGTGCAAGGCTCATGCTTTTTGGTATATGCCATGTCAAGTGAATGAGAAAGATTCCTGTCAAGTGGAAAATAATTTCACCAAGTGCTTCTAATGGAACAACTTTTCAAAGTTATAGGAACGAAAATCAGAGTAAACGAGTACTCCGCACCCAGCGTCACATCAACACCAAGCGTGCGTCACTTTGGCACTCTCCAAAATAAAACGCAAGTCTCACCAATGAAATAGATATTCATAAACTTTGATTTAAAGTGTACGATGAACATTTTGAGCTCATGTTCATTGTTTGATGAGTTTGAGTGTGATCCCTTCATGGCTGAGGACCAATTCTTCCTCAGTCTGGATATTTTCCGCATTTTGGGTTCTTTGCGTTCTGCTGCTTCCACGCTTCTGCCAATCGATAAAGTTTCAGCAATTTTTTCAACAATTTTTCAAAACCAAGATGTTATCTATTTTTATACCCCAAGAAATTTCTTCATGAACTAGCGAGAGCAGTTCATCTCTCGCAAGCATTTGATCAGGTGCTTTTCCAGTTCACTGAATCCCATGATGTTATTCGTAATTTTGAATACTGTGATTCCACTTGACAAAAACTGTAAGAATGGAGTTAGGCCTAACACCTGCAGTAAATGATGATGATATTTAAAAAAATGCAACCCAAACTAAAGTTACTGCGAAAACACAGGGTTAGAAGTATTAAAAAATGTATTCACTGCCTGCTGTCTATGCTCAGTCGTGTTGGAGCGTACTTGAGGGATGCACCTGGCAAGTAGCAGTGAGAAGATTGCTGGTTTCACTCAGTTTTCATACTTCAAATTTGAAAAATTACTGCAGTTGAGTCAATGGTTGAGATTGTCTTTAACATAAAACTGCCAACCATCGATAAAATCAATGGTGGTTGGCAGTTCAATAAAATCGATGGTTGGCAGTTCTTGGGTAAAACTTGGCAGAAAGGTTTCTTTTTCATTGAGGTATATGCGAAAATAGGATGGAGACGCTTGAAAAAATAGAGTGGCCTCCTATTTTTTTAGTTTGACTTTACTTACTGACGACTTATAGAAGTTAAATCTTAGAATGTGCTTTTTTAATCAGATTTAAAACAATATATTTGATTTCTTCCGCCGCTGTTTCTATAACGACGCTAATGACGCAAACCATTTTCTCAGTACCTGAGAACGCACTCCTCAATGAAAGCGAGTATCCCAATGAGAGCGTATTTCCCTCCGAAGATCTTGATGATAGCTTTCAGGAAACTCGGCCTCTTGACTCCTCTACTCCTTGGCCATGAATCCAATTGACCACCAACTACGGCAGCATTCTCCATCTCCTTCTCCCACTGTCTGAAGAAATATTTCAGTAAGCATCAGAATCGAACACAATGAAACTATTGATAGAGAGTGAGGTCTGGCAGTTTTTGTGCGAACCCTCAAGTTTATTTGGGCTTTTACTAGAGCATTGTAACTTCATTCCTCCAAGGATTCAGTGATTCATGCATGTATTTATGTATAAGGAAGACTGGAGATAAAAAAAAAACAGCTATTCATGCTCTTAGCATTAATTAATTTTATATCAAATGATCAATTTATGTTAAAGTTCGTCGAGAAGGGGTTTTCGATGTTTTCATGTGTTGACTTGAGGAAATTAAGCTTCAGCTGGTTCCAAAAGGAAGTATTAGGACAAGTCTAAAATACAAATTCTGGGGGAACGTGGGGAATGTTTTGTGATTCGAACCCTATCCAACAAGTTGCGATATTTGACACCAGCTCCAGGCAATTAGAGAATACCCTTCCTGAAGTGTCATGAAATTCATGAATGGAAACAAGATTTCCACATTTTTCAACCACCTTCTAATCATGAGGTTTTCTCAAAGTGTGTATCCCTCACCTAGAGCCCACTTTTTTACTTGCACCTGTAATTGATCCTTTGCAAATAACGTCATATAATCACTGTTAATAGCGCAATTGTTTTATTTATTTATTTATTTCATCGCGTTTTTTATTATCTGTTCATGTATGAATGATGTCTTACGTTAAAATTCCACCTACTCGGTCAATTAGCCATTACCATTTCGCTGACGAAATCGGAAATGGAACGTTTCCTCGAAACTGTAAAAAAAATTAGTTAACATAAGAAGGGTGACGTTTCGTCGACATATTCGTTTTGCGAAACTCCCGTCTTGAGGGAATCGGAAACGCAAAATTGAAGCATTCAGTCTACCTCCGTGACAAGGCCTATGTTCGTGCCTTTAGGCGATATTAAGATGTGATTTGAAAGCTTAGTGCATATACACGAGCGGACTCGAAACATTAATAAGCATTGTTGAAGCTGTGAGACAAAGGACCTACAAAGATAGGGCTACTGCCTCTTATAAAAGGTTCACCTGCATCCACCTGGCTGAACGACCAGGTGGATTGGAGGTGGATTTAAAACCAGGTGGAAATCGAACTGGTCATTCGCGCACGAATTTCTCGAGCTAGGTGGATGTTCTCCCCTGGGTGGATTTTTAACCAGGAGGACATAGCTCCAAAAGGTGGAAATACGCCATCCACCTGGTTCCAAATCCACTTGGTAAGTGGACGTTTTGCAAGGGGCTCTTGTGCCGACTGGTTGAGAAATTGCTCATAAATTAACATGTAAATATCATGACGTCTTGATATTCAAAGATTTGATTTGATTCACTCATTAATTGTCACCAAAATGACCCGTTAGTGAAAAGATCCAATAAAACAAATTTCTTGGCAAATTATGCGTCAATGGAATTTTTTGTTCCCCATTTCGCCTGCCGACGAAACGTCATGTATCTCTTGCGTTGTCTTGCATTGCACAATAAGGAAGTAAAATTCGTCTGGACGTAATGACCATTCAGTATCGTTTTTGGTTGAGTGTCTTTCGGTTTTCAAAGCCCTTCAAACGTTGTAACTCACCTCTGGAGTTTGTTTCCCAATCCCTCGGACTCGTCTCCCAATGGAATTCCGTACAGATCGTTTACTCCCAAACCCCTGCTGGAACCAAGCCTCAAAAGAGGGTTCATCCACCTATGAAGGAAGGAAGAAGGAAGGATATGATAGACCTGTCGGTCAGACACCGGGATATGTATGATGGGTGCGACAGAGGCTCATGGGAAATGTCGGGGTAGATAGACCTTGGCTTCTCATTGCCCATCATGTTTCACGTCCTTTACGGTTGAGAAGCAATTACTTTAATGAATGAATTCCTGCCTATGTCTAACGTGCTCGTGCGAGCTAACCTAGTCGTAAGACCTGGAAATCTAAGGGAGTTTCTCTTGGTCATTTTCCATTGGATAACTGCATTTGTAGCATCTTGTAGGAACCTAGAAGCACGAAGCGGTTCCGTCTGTCCACGCAGTAAGGAGACGAAGGCTATCCAAGCGACGCCCGTGTCATACTGTCGACGACTACTCGTGAAGAGGTTCCTCATAGCCGTACCGATCAATTGGTGTTTCTTGTTTACCCTGCACAACTCAGAGAAATATTTATATCCTCTTCATGATTGATCATCGGACTCGCTATGAACCAGTCATTACCAGGTGATCGATTCTCACCCCCATAGGATTTATCAGTACAACGGATATGCCAACTTGGAGCTCATGAACATGCAGTCATGGACCAAGGAATACATTTTGTGCCCAATATATTCTAAGGCACTCGGGGACTTTAGGCCTCTGGTCCCATGTTAGACATCTTCCCATGGATTTTCAGAGTTTTTCATTGCATTCTCACGGGTTTGCAGTTTGTCATGTTTGCACTTCTTATTCTCATACGCAAATTTTTTTCATAAAATTTGAGCTAACACAATAAATTTGGAATACTGCATGCAGGGCCGGCGCGAGTACCCCTGCGGCCTCTGCGGCCGCAGGGGGCGCCCGCAGAATCCAGGGGTCCCAGTCCCCTAGAGGAAGAACGAAAGAAAAAGAAAAACTTTGAAACGCTGCGAGTTGTTCCGAAAGAGATTCAATCTCTGAATGAGACGGAGAATATTCCTAGGTCTTCCTACTCTGGACAGGCGAGTAGGCCGAGCAGCGCGAAATCCGTCACCAAATGCATGGAAAGTATTTTTAACATTTTGTTTTAATTCCTCTATCCTTCCCGCATGAAATCCTCGCGCTTGAAGGCTTTCGAGGAGGTGAGAAAGACGTCCGCATGGACCTCGTTTTCATCCCTTTCCCTCGCTCGTCTCCCTTGATCACGTTGTGAAATGTCTTGCTTATATATTACCGAGTCATTGATGGGTGTGGCCACATTTGAATTCAACAAAACGTGAACGGATGGGTATATGCACAAATATTCGTAGTACACTTGTGTATGCGGTTATGCCGCAAATACCCAGAGCCACCTTAAGCCAAGGTGCCAATCGATATTATGAGAGTGTAGCCTACTGCTTTTGACTTACGGAAAGGGCCGCTTTTGCTGCTATTAAGCTTTAATAATTTATAAAGTCTCAACAAGTTTATAATATGGACAAGTGTCCATATTAAGATCAGTTTGCAGTATCTATGGAGCGTTTGAAATATGTACAATCAATACTAATTATGAACGGGTGGCAACACTAATCATCGATGGTAAACGTGCAAAGATTGGACACCTTTAGCCAAGGTTAACCTCAACAGCTCAACGACCTTGTCGATGAGCTTCGCAGCCTGGCTACGCTTTTACCAGAGCCACTTCATGCTCTTGGAACTCCACGATTCGTTCACAAGAGTAGTCAGGCCCGTGTATCCTAACGTGTCCATCGCTCTTGGAGTGTTACTCACAGTTCCAGTGAGAGTTGCATCTGCAGAAAGAAGCTTCTCCAGACTGAAACAATTTAGAACTTATCTAAGATGAAGCATATCACAAGAGCGCCTGACAGGACTAGCCATACTCTATCGAGGGGGAAGTCGGGAGGTCCTTGAATTACAAGAAAGTGATCGATGAGCTGGTGGCAAAAGTTCCGAGAATACGAACGCTAAGTCTTTGGACAACCTATACAAATTCCTTTCCTTTCCTTGGTTCATGAAAATGAAGTGATTTTCATTTATTTTCCTAATATAGCTTCAATGATCGAAAATGAAGTAAGGGGTAAATCTCCGGAACCCAGAGGTAGCTCGATGTCTTTGCCGCAGGGGGCCCTCATTTTCCCGCGCCGGGCCTGACTGCATGGTATTCACCAGAAGACCCAGTTTCAATCGGTAAATTGAATTTCCTCTTCTGTTTGCAATTGCTGTGAAAGATTTATCATAGAAAGCACAGTTGAGAGACAAAAGCACGCACTTGTTCGGCAATCCTGTGACCATGTAGTATCAAATCACATCTGGAGGCAGATCAATACATTTTTTGCTCAAAATTTTGAAATGCATTTTGCTTTTTTATATTGCTTTAAAGTTCTTTAAAAATCCATTTGAACGTGATTTCAATGGAAACTTTTTTCATTTTCATTTTCAGATTTATTTATTTATTTTTTCTGTAAACATTTTTTTCTATCTTCTTGGAAAGCATTTCCTACACAGAATAGCTTATCCGAAATCCATTTAATTAAATCGGGGGTCGTAAGAGGCTGTACGACATTAGTTTTCCATCCAGGTATCATCCCCCTGCAAATAGCAAAGCGAAACACATTATCTGGATTATAAAGAATGTAAACCCCGGAAGCCTGCAAGATAAGGGCATGAATGGGATTAATGGTTATCTTACACTATGACAGAATATAGGAGTGTCATTCTTGAACTCAAGTAACAAACTCCAGATACTCCACTTCCTCGGCAACGATATCTGCTTCTTCCGTATGGAAGCGCAAACTCTCAATAAGCCTGAAATGCGAACAATATACAATAGAACCCAGAGCAAGAAAGGTATCGCAAACCCCTTCAATATAGGTGATTTGGTGTGGGCATTGGATTCAAAAATAAGAGGGCATTTTGAGCCCAAAAGGCAGTTGAAGTGGCATGACTTTGAGAGTATAATATAGGTTTTCTTTGGCAAATGTGGTCGAAAGAAAGTCAAATGCGACAGGTGCGTAAGGTATACCATTCCCATGTTAGGGAAATGTCTTCACGTTGCATTTTCACAACGTGCAGATTCAGGTGCATTTGCATATGGGGCTCCTATTGTAGTTAATATATTTCTGCAGTTATCGATGCGTTAGGGTTAGTCTTAGGAATATGTTACCACCATGCTGCTTCGTTGTGTGAAGTTAGCCGGGAAACCGACGCGATATATGACTTTTCATGCTAACGAAAACTTAATTTAATTTCAATCAATTTCAATTCAAGTTTATTGGTCGACATAGAGTACTCAATCGACGTAAATTTACTTTAGGGACAAAGACGTGAGGAGTAACAAGACAAATATGACAAACATGACAAACATGGGTATCATCAGAAGCGTCGTAAACAAAGAGGACATCATTTAACTTTCTATGCTGGCTTTCCGGGAAAATATAGCTTCGGTTAAAAAGGAGTTGACCGCCTCCAGCGGGGTGGATGAATCCAGAAGAAACTCAACGAGTGTCGTGTTTGAATTTTGTCGAACTATTTCTGGGTATTTTTGCCTTATCTGAAGTAATCCTTCGCAATCCATCAGAAAGTGCATCTGAGATTCAGAATTAAGACACAAAGGGCAGATGTGGTCCCCGTTTCGTTCCATTAGACGCGGGAAATTCCAGTGTATGAAGATGAACCGCCATAAAGGTCCTCCTTTCCTGTCTAAAGAGATTAACTTTCCTATAAAAGGTTTTGACTGGTAGATTTGCC